CACTTCTTAAAGGTCCAACCGCGGGCGGTCTCTACAAGTTACCCGTGTCTCGTTCCCACTTTGCGTTTGTGAGTTCCCGTGCTACGTCGGCTGTGTGACATCGCAGGCTTGGTCACCCGCATAGTGTGGTCCAAAACAAAATCCTACAAGGTTGTTCCGTTCAAGCAAATAATTCCAAAGAATTGGGGTCGTGCACGGCTTGCCATCTCGGCAAGTCTTCCCGTTTCAAGTTAGATAGTGTTGAGAATAATAGTAAAAATGTATTAGATCTATTATTTACCGATATCTGGGGCCCCGCTCCTATAGTGTCAACTAGTGGATATCGTTATTTTCTACTGTTTGTTGATGACTTCACACGGTTTACCTGGTTTTATCCATTACGGGTAAAATCAGATATCTATAAAATTTTTGACTCGTTTCGTTTGTTGGTAGAGCGGCAGTTTTCGCGCTCTATCAAGTCAATCCAATCAGATTTAGGGGGTGAATACAGAAAATTACACACAACCTTCCAATCCTTTGGAATTGAACACCGGCAGTCTTGTGCGTATACACATGAACAAAACGGAAGAGTTGAGCGCTGTAACCGACACATTGTCGAAACGGGTTTAGCTCTTCTTGCTCAAGGCTCCGTCCCACAAGAATATTGGGACTACGCCTTTGAAACTGCCACTTGTTTAATTAACTACCTTCCCACCCCGGTCTTAAAGTTTGAAAGTCCATACTATCGCCTCTACAAAAAATCACCACCGTACCAATTTCTTCGTGTCTTCGGGTATCAATGTTACCCCCATCTACGGCCTTATAATCGGCACAAGATGGAGTATCGTTCCACCCCATGTGTCTTCCTAGGTTACCCACCGTCCTATAGGGGATATAGATGCATGGATCCAATCAGTGGGAAAACCTATATCTGTCGCCATGTGCGGTTTGACGAGAATGTGTTTCCCTTTGCAACAGGTTCTGTGCAGGCTCAGGAATCTACAGCTGCATCTCTACCTTGGGCATCAGCACCCGTAGCACCGGTGCAATCTTGTCAACTTATGCCAACTCCGGTGACTGAACCAGTCCCGTTGGCCCAAGAAGCACCTTTATTGGCCATTGAGCTAAGTGCACCTAGACGGGGCCGGAAACGAACAACTGTTCAACCTTTGGCTATGCGCCTTCGGCGTATGACTCGGGGTACTGATGAAGAGTTTCATGCTCTAACAGCAACGACTGATCCAACGTGTTACTCCCAAGCTGTAGGTCATCCACAGTGGCGTGACGCAATGGATCAAGAGTTCAACGCTCTTCTTTACAACAACACGTGGCGATTAGTCCCCCCAGACCCAACCATGAACATTATTGGGTGCAAATGGGTCTTCCGTACAAAACGGACTGCCGATGGCTCGATTGATCGCTATAAAGCTCGTTTGGTAGCCAAAGGCTTCAATCAAGTCGCAGGGGAGGACTTCTTTGACACATTCAGTCCAGTCGTCAAGCACACGACTGTCCGCATCCTGTTTGCGTTAGCTGTCTCGAACAAGTGGGCTCTCCGCCAGCTGGATGTCCACAACGCCTTTCTAAATGGCCATTTAGCCGAGACGGTATACATGAAACAACCACCAGGATATGAAGATCCGACACACCCTGATCATGTCTGTCTTTTGCAGCGTTCTCTATACGGGTTTAAACAGGCTCCAAGGGCCTGGTTCAAAAGACTTCACGATTTTTTACTCACTGCAGGTTTCTCCTCGTCCAAGACTGATGTCTCATTATTTTACCACTCGACGGGTGTCTCTAAAGTGTTTCTACTCGTCTATGTGGATGACATCATCATGATGGGCAGTGACGCCGCACTTGTTGAGTCCTTACTACGTCGCCTTGCATCAGCGTTCAAGATTAGAGATCTTGGCACTCCTGGGTTCTTTTTAGGCATCGAGACAGTTTCAGCTAATGGTGGGATGATTTTGTCACAGCATAGGTACATGGTGGACTTACTTCATCGGTCTGGGATGACGGACTGCAAATCCCTTACTACCCCGGCGTCTGTTACTCACGCTATCACTCCGTCTGATCAACCTTTCTAGAATCTGATGCAATATCGGCGCATTGTTGGGGCACTGCAGTACCTGACTATCACTCGGCCAGACCTCGTGTATGCTGTCAACCGCCTATGTCAGTTCATGCACTCTCCTACTGACGACCACTGGGCAATGGTGAAACGTGTGTTACGGTATATTAAGGGCACTCTTAACTACGGTCTTCGACTCTCTCCTTCCGCTTCAAGTGACATCCACGCCTACTCCGACTCTGACTGGGCTGGGTGTCCGGTCGACAGGAAAAGCACCAGTGGCTATGCCGTCTTTCTCGGGAGTAATCTTGTTTCCTGGCTCTCTCGGAAACAACGCACCGTTGCTCGCTCCTCCACTGAGGCGGAATATAAAGCCCTAGCTGATGTTGCTGCCGAAGTCACCTGGGTGGTCTCTCTGTTGCGGGAACTTGGGTTGCACACTGGGCGTCCCTCCAACTTATGGTGTGACAACCTCGGCGCTACATACTTATGCGCTAATCCTGTGTTTCACGCTCGGACGAAGCATGTTGAAATAGATTACCACTTTGTTCGTGACAAAGTAGCCTCCGGCGACTTCGTGGTCAACTTCGTCTCCACCAAGGATCAGCTAGCCGATGTGCTCACTAAACCACTACCTGGACCCCGGTTTACAGCTCTGCGAGACAAGTGTTGAAATTGAGAGATTGATAGGTCTGGCGGGTGGAGAATAACCACCACTCGCCAGTTAGGCGGAAGCAAAATATGTGATAACCAAAGAACAAGAGAATATAGAGAATATATTATAATGAAAGAGTACAATAGATTGTCTCTCTTAATGTTTATTCTATACTTCAATGGACCTCTATATATACTAAACTAGATACTAAATTAGTCCTAATAGGAATAGGAAACTACTAATAAGAATAGGAAACTAAGACAACTTTCCTAATATTCAACACTCCCCCTCAAGCTGGAACATCGGGAAGTTCCAAGCTTGGATTAAAACAAGCACTCTACCTCACTCAAAATTACAAGTGAAAATTAAATGCAACTAGAGGATAACAATGCGAGATGGCTTCGGAGGTACAATGCAACCCTTGGGAATGAACACACCAGGGGCAAAGCTTGTCACGAACATCCTTGGGAATGGAGGCACCAAGGGAAAACACGAACACCATCACAACAATATAAGCACTCGAGGATGGATGACTTCAAAAGAGATTGCGCTATGTCTGACCCTTCCTTGGGAATGAAGACGAAGGCACCAAGAACGAAGCTTAACACAATCCTTGGGAATAAAGACGAAGACACCAAGGACCCTTGGGAATAAAGACGAAGACACCAAGGACGAAGCTAAACACGATCTTGGGAATGAACACACCGAGGACAGAATCGAACATGAACCTCGGGAATGAAGATGAACACACTAAGGATAGAGTTAAACATGAACAACCTCCCGATAACACAAGAGAGCGGTAGAGGCAGAAAGGGAGCAAAGAATAGCAAAGGGAGCCCATAGTAGATAAAATAGCAAATAATAGTAAATGATAGCACACCAATTGTAGACAGTCACACTCCCCCTTACTTGAAACATGGGAAATAATCAAAGGCCTTTATAGTAGTGCTGAAACTGACCATCCATGGGATAGGGCATACCGGAGATAAAGAAACAAACACGGTTATACCAAAACACAATCACCATGGGAAAATGTTCGGCAACAAATCCAAAGAAGCCTTCAAATTTCACCAAAAAGTTGAAAGAAGGGCAAAACAACCATCTAAAAAATCTCGTCGGAGGCAGACTCACGCGCCGGCGCGTGAGGAAGGTCGCCGGCGCGTGACGGCAGCGGTGGCGCGTGAGGACGACGGCGGTAGAGGAAAGCGATGAAATTTTCTAGATAAGGTCGCAAGAGGGAGAGGAATCCATTGGTGTAGGAGGTGAGATCACAAAATCACTGGAGAAGAGGAGATCTGGCCGGAAAAGCGAAAGCACTCCCGACGACAGTGGTGGCGTGTGTGGGCGCGCGACAAGGTTCCGAGTAAGGCTGTGGTGTTAGTTGCTTTGAACAACAACTAGAAGTGTGTGTGGGCGCGCGACAAGGTTCTGAGTAAGGTTGTGGTGTTAGTTGCTTTGAACAACAACTAGAAGTGCGTCGGAACGAGAGAAAACAGTGGCGGCAGTGGTTACCCTCCGGTGGCGGCAGCGGTGGCGGAAAGCTAGGGTTTATATTAGGGTTTTAATATTTGAAGAAAAACAACCTAGGAAAGTAGGCTCTGATACCATGTTGAAATTGAGAGATTGATAGGTCTGGCGGGTGGAGAATAACCACCACCCACCAGTTAGGCGGAAGCAAAATATGTGATAACCAAAGAACAAGAGAATATATTATAATGAAAGATTACAATAGATTATCTCTCTTAATGTCTATTCTATACTTCAGTGGACCTCTATATATACTAAACTAGATACTAAGTTAGTTTAGGAAACTACTAATAAGAATATGAAACTAAGACAACTTTCCTAATATTCAACAACAAGCTCAACATTGTTGATCATCAATCTTGTGCTTGAGGGGGTGTATTAGTGTTACTGTTATTATTATTATTTAATTATATGTAACATAGTTTGTATTTGTTTGGTCCTAGAATTAGTCTTATATTTCTTGTCTATTAGTCAGGAGTGTTTAGTGGTGAGATTAGATATACTCACGTGTAATTGTTTTCTGTTGGAATTGAATGAATTATCTTTCTAATCTTAAGGTGCATGCTTTGTTGTGTGCTTAATGTGCGTGGTTTGTGTTCTTAAGGTGCGTGGTTTGTGTTCTTTAAGTGTTTTGTTTGTATGCTTAAGGTGCGTAGGTTATGTACTTAAGGTGCGTTCTTTCGTACAACTGCACGGGAACCCCTCCCCTCATCTGAACCCTTGCCTATATATATAATCCTGTTCATATGAAAATCATTGCACAAGTGAAAACTTGTGGACAAATTCAAATCATGAATCTGCAAGATGACCATTGATGAACCCTAATAAGTGGTTGAGATCAATCCTCATTTGTCACAATTAAGATCATGTGCTTATTTGATCTTGTTGCTATATGTATAGTGTTGTTAATTTGACCCTCATTTTATATCATGATATGTTAAGTCCTACCCTCAAACTTTTGCATCTTTTACCCCATCTCTAAGCTTTCTGCCATGAGGAATTTTGCATTTTAGGCCTCCACTCCATTTAATTCCATACTTCGTTTTTACATCTTTATTTTTACCTAGTCTCATTTAATCATTCTCACAAACAATCTCTTTTTTTTTTTTCATGGTTTAGTATATTTGTTATTGTTTATTGAGTGAAGATCACATCAAACAATTTTTGAATGTCAAAATCTTAGATTTTTTTTAAATGAACAAATTAACTAGGTGATATAATTGTAATTAATAGGTTTCATTTAATTATATAACTATGGATTAGGCTTATTATTAAAGCAATGTTAAGCTTCTCTCTAAATTGTGAATATCATATGGAGTCTAGCTATAACACACCCCCCCCCCCCCCCCCCCACCCTTCTCTCAATCTCTCAACCCCACGTTATGCAATATTCACCACTAGCTAAGAGAGAAAGTAATTGCAACTAGTAATCTCTCTTTGTCAAACAATTGATATTATCAAGAATTTTATTTTTCTTCTAATCCCAAGGGCCCCCCACATCCCGACCTTGACACCCAAAAAAAATATAGTACAAAAAAATTTGTAACAGCTTATTGCCTTAAAATGTTAAAATACAAAAATCTGCTCAAGCCTCAAAGCTTCTTTCTCGATAAGCTTTTTAAGAAAGTCATTTGCATGTAATCAGCTATCAGCTAACAACAAATTACTAAACACTTTTATACAATCAGCTAATGTTATCAACTAGTCAAATTCATTAACCCAATCGGCTAACAGCTATTTACCAATCCCCCCTTAAAAAGAATATTGAAATTAAAATTAAAAAAGAAAAAGTAATGTCTAGTATATTGCTACATTATGAAATGATTGTTTGTGAATAACAATTGCAGGAGTACTTAGTTTTAATATAATGTTGAACTCTTCTCTAGTTGGTAAATATCACATTATAACTTGGAACATGTTTAATACTTGTTAATTGAAGTGTGGCACTGACTACTACATAAATATAAAGAAATAAAGTAGTACATTTACTACTAGTTATAACATTTGATGTAGTAATAATCACTTGATCTAAAAAATGTAACGTTTAATGAATATTTTTAATACTATATATTGACTCATAGATTAATTATAATGTGTGTCGATATGCATGTGTTTGAACTTTGAATGTGTTAGTTGGTACATTTGCATAAGATTGTACGAATTACATAGTATTCTATGTACTTTAGCCTGAGAAGAGATATGCAAGACAGACTTGGATTTTGTATAATAATCGCGATTCACGTACACTCACCTACCAGGAATCCATGGTACCATATATATTTGAGTCCTAATGTAGATTTTTAAATTTTACTCCATCATTTTTATTTTAGAATGACTTTATATAGTGAGAGGATATTTAAATATTGTCACTTTAAATGCTCATTAACTCTTATATCTTTTTAGATGTCTCTTTAGAGTTATTCTCTATCTCTCTTCCGACTATTCTCATGAATTTTTTGGTTGTCTCATGATGCCAAATTTTATACATTAATAATGTTTTTTTTTTAGGTTATCCTTTGGTTTGATTTTTTTTTTAAAGCAAATTCTATAGCTTAATAATGTTTCTTTGACGTTACTATACCCTTTTGTTTTAATTATATATTAAAAAAAAAACTATGAAGTCCTTTCAAAAAATAAATAAATAAATAACTATGAAGTACTAGCACCCGGCTCATACGTGACATGTTACATAAGAGAATAATAATCTATTAAATACAAACATTTATGCTTCTAAAATGGCCTAAATATATTCATTACTATAGAGTATAGATGTAGAATGTTAGAGATAGAATTTATTATATGTCATTGTCTTCTCTCTTGTCAAATCTTTAATAAAGTGGGTAGATATTCATAATGTCGTAATGGGGTTCATTTACTTCAGATAATTATTTAGGATATAATTCAATGTCAGCTTAAGTTACCTATATAAGTCAATCCCAACCCTCTACCACCATGAATACTCTACCACCATGAATATAATGTTTACTACACTACTAAGGGCGTGTTTGGTTCATAGGTTTACACACTAGAATGTGAATCAAAATCATAATTAGTGTTTGGTTGCAAAATCATAGCTATTGTTTGTTTGACAAATTTTTAAAACACAACTATAGATTTGATTATCCAATCAATTAAAAACTCCATTCCTTAAATAAAATGGGGTATCATTCTATCCTACTGGCAATATGATTTTTAAGTTTGAATTAGTGCTTTTAGATTTTTATTTTGATTTCTTTTGTTCATATTAGTGTTTTAGATGTCATTATATTAAAAGATCAATTGCCTTAATTTTTTATTTGTGGATTTTTAAACTTTTATTCCATTATGGGGTCATATATAACCAAACATCAATATTGGTAATCATTTCAATTCCACCATACTACAAAACATGCAAAATACTTTCAGCAAAAATTATTACTATTACCAAGTATTTGATTCCATTTCGATTCTGATTCCCTTGTGCGAACCTAACACACCTTAAAAATAATTAATATGGCTATAGTAACATATAACAAAATGTGACTATATTAAGTTTACTTGTCGCTTTTATCACTTAAATATTATTTTGCTCTTAGTAATATTTTGATCAGTTCCTTATTTTGGTTCGTTGCAAAATGATGTCAACATTCTACAAAGTTTTACTAGTAGCTGTAGGCTGTAGCTAGACTCAAGCTAAGGAAATGAAATCAGAATGCATGCATGCAATATATTTGGCATCTAAGATCCATAGAAAGAAAAATATATCACTTCTCTAGTTCTCCCAAATAATATAATAATGATAATAAAAAAGGAAAAGAATTTGAAAGCTATATATATATATATATATATATATATATATATATATATAATATAAGTTCGACTGCAAGCACTCTCAAATTCTACTCATTTATTTTTACTCCCTAACATGACACATAATGATAGACTATTATAAATAAAATATTTACTACACTACTAAAAACAATTAATATATATGGCTATAGTGACAAATGAATTTTATTACGAAAAATTACAAATTTATCACCCAAAGATAATGATGATATATAAATATACAATAAATAAAAAAAAAAAAAAAAGTAATTGCTTGTTCTCTTTAATCATTTAAGGGAAAATCGCACTTTTGGTCCCTCAATTGTTTCCAGGTATACAATGTAGTCCCTCATTGTCAGTTTTGCTAAATTGATCCCTCAAATGTTTCAGTTGTAGCTAATGTAACCATCCGGTCAGATTTATCACTAACTAGTGTTAAAACCATGGACAATTTGATAATTTCACAACACTAAGTTTTACCCCCAATTTCCTTCTTCCTCTCGCAATGGCTTTTCAAATTTGTCACTCACACCTGAATCCATGGTGATGGCAGCCGGTCGGCTGTTGGAATCTACAAATTTTGAAAATGTTCTAGAAATGAATCTGATGGTGCAAAGGCAGCAGAGGAAGTCCAGATGGCTCCAAAAACACTGGGAATGAGAATAGCGGAAATGTTCAAAATCAAGTGTGACCTGTCACAGAAAACATATCAATTTACAAAAGAGGCACAAACAGAGGTAAATATCAATTTACATTATGGAATTAATGAATTGAAGTAGGGGAAGCCAGTAGTAAAATTAGAGAGACGGATAGGAAGAGATTAGTAGCAGACCCAGACACGCCTCTTGCCAAAAAATCATCACTGGAAGTGATAAACATGGAATGCGAACGCCGGAAATGGACTTGAGAATCGCTGGAATACATAGAACACCATGCGACCTTTCACCCCGCATCCTTGATTCCAGAAAACCCAGTCGAAAGACCTTCTTATTAATAGTGTATGTTTTCCCTTAATTGTTTGCCGGTTTGCCATAGACGTTTTCACTCACTGGTCGTGCTGGTTTACCTTTTCTATGGTGTTGTTGAATTCACAGTGAGGAGCTTGGGCGCTGCAATGAGAGATCGACGATGACATCGCAATTTGGAGAAGATGGCGGCGACGAGGCTAGGCTCCCGGCGACGTCCGACTGTGGCGCTAGTTTTTTTGTGGCACTAGTGCAAAGACGGATTAGGTTCAGAAAATTGGGTGTGAAAGCTGGGGTTATGTAAAATGAATTTGGGGTAAATGGCGTGGGAGGAGAATGGGTGTAACTAAGGGTATTGTGAAATTATCAAAATGTCCATAGTATTAACTCTAATTTGAGACAAATTTGACCAAAGGGCTATATTGGCTACAATTGAAACATTTGAGGGACCAATTTAGCAAAATTGACAATAAGAGACTACATTGCATATCTGGGAACAATTGAGGGACCAAAAGTGCAATTTTTCCATCATTTAAATATTATTTTGCTTTTAGTAATATTTTGATCAGTTTTCTTATTTTGGTTGCAAAATGATGTCAATACTCTACAAAGTTTTGCTATAAGTTATAGCTAGACTCGAGGAAATTAAATCAGAATGCGTCCTCTATCATTATTGTATCGATTATGATCCACACAAATGTATAGACCATACTATCAAGTAACGTATATTTAGTACATACATAATGCATTTTTAGTATATTAAAAGTATACATTGTATACACGGAAAGTAGATTATTTAAGTACTAAAAGTATATTATTTTGTATAATATACATTTAATATACGAATAATGTATTTTTTGTTATTATGTTTTGCAACCAAAATAAGGAACTCATCAAAATATTACTAAGACCAAAATAATATTTAAGTGATAAAAGAGACAAGTAAACTTAATATAGTCACATTTTGTTATATGTCACTATAGCCATACTAATTATTTCTAGGGTGTGTTTGGTTTGCACAAGGGAATTAGAATCGAAATGGAATCAAATACTTGGTAAATGGTAATGGGTTTTATTGAAAGTATATATTTTGCATGTTTTGTAGTAGAATGAAATTGAAATGATTACCAATATTGATGTTTGGTTATGTATGACCCTATAATGGTATAAAGGTTTTAAAAATCCAAAAATAAAAAATTAAGGCAATTGATATTAACATAATGACATCCAAAGCACCGCAAAAAAAAAAAAAAAAAACAAAACAAAACAAAAAAAAAAAAACAAAAAAAAAACAAAAAAACAAAAAACAAAAAACAAAAAAAAAAACAAACAAACAAACAAACAAAAAAAAAACAAAAAACAAAAAAAAAACCAAAAAAAAAAAAAAAAAAAAAAACAAACAAACAAAACAAAATCTAAAAGCACTAGTTCAAACTTAAAAATCATATTGCCAATAGGATAGAATGATATCCTTTTTAATTAAGGAATGGGGTTTTTAATTAAAGGGGTAATCAAATCCATAGTTGTGCCTTTTGTTGGTCCCGGTAGGGTCGAAAGAGAGTCTAGAGGGGGGGGGGGTGAATAGATTCTAATCGATTTTTCAAAGATACTCCTTTCGGAGTGATGCACAGCTGAATAAAAGATTTCATCTTAGTTTTTACTTTGCACACTTTCGTTAGAAGATCTCAGGGTTTGGTCGAAATGATATGCAATGCACGAAAGATAAAGCGCAGTATTTAAAGAGATATGGAGAGAGAGATTTTTATAGTGGTTCGGCTATTAACAAAGCCTACTCCACTCTTCTTTCACAACTCGTGAAAAGGTTTGCACTATCACTCCTAATACAAACTACTTCAAGCTGGCTTCCTTGATCACTATGCCGGACAGCCACTTGATAGGTTTTTCAACTCCTCGAGTTTACTCCGCCTCTATCAACTTCTTCCTAAGAGTTGAGTTGTTGGAAAGAAGATCTTGTGTTTCTCCAACAGGTTGAAGCCTTGTCTTGATATCTGGATAAATCTTCACTTGAAAAGATGCAAGACTTCTTCAAGATTTGTGAAGGGTGGATGATGGATGAGCCTTTTGAAAACTTCACAAAAACACTGGTTATGAAAAGTTTTAAGAGATGCAACTATTTGAAGAGCTTTTCTTTGGATAGCAAGAGTTGAATAACCAGCACCTTCTTCAATGGTGAAGACAGGTATTTATAGGAAGGGAAAAATTCATCCGTTGGAGGGAGATGAAGATTTCAACCTATTAACCAGTGTGTAAAAGCCAGTGGGCATAGAGCATTTAAAGCACTTGTACTGTGTAGCCGTTGGAGCCAAAAGCATCATGACTTTTGTCCTTGTTCTTTGACAAGATGGTACAAGTCTTTTAATGCTCCTTGTCTTTTGTGAAAGTCATTCCTAGGACACCTTTTGTCCCGAATGATTGCCCATCTATGAGTCATAGACAATATTCTCATTGCTTCACTAAATGAAGGTTGTCTTTACAAGGAAGGGATCCCTTCCTTGGTCCCGGTGTATGGTGTTTTCACTCACACCTAATTAATGGTGTGTTTTTTGTGATGCGTACCTAATTTGTCTGTGTTTTTGTGGTGCATTTTCCTAACATTGATAGTGTATATTTGTTGAACTATTGGTGACGCCACACCTAAGGACATCGCCGAACTTGAACCTTAATTTTTTTAAATATAATCAAAACAAACGGGTAACGTCAAAGAAACATTATTAAATTATAAAATCTGTTATTTTTTTAAATTATTTTTTTTAAAGCAAACCAAATGGGTAACCTCAAAGAAACATTGTTAAACTACAAAATTTGTTTTTTTTTTTTTTGCTTTTTATTTTTTTAAAGCAAACCAAAGGGGTAACCTCAAAGAAACATTATATTTTTAAACTACAATATATTTTTTTTAAAAGCAAACTAAAGGGGTAACCTCAAAGAAACATTGTTAAACTACAAAATTTGGCATCATGAGAATCAAAAAATCCCCCATGAGAATAGTCAGAAGAGCGATAAGGATAACTCTAAAGAGACATCTATGAAGATTTAAGGAGTTAATGCATATTTACAAGTGACATTATTTTATAATTTTAATTGATCGAGGAGGTAATAATTACAAGATATATTTCATAAAGCACATTTTATACCTCTTTTTTTAGTCCTCGTTTCGAATCAAACCTCCTCTCACTATATAGAGTCACCATAAAGTTGACCAACTTTTCAATTATGACATTTAATGGTCAATTAAATTTAGAGCCTATACTGTAATATTGATTTGTTAGAGGCTCTGCGATTATTATAAATAAATATATATACACCCATTGCTTAGTCTCAAAACCCAAAGTATAATTCTATTCAAAATATTGAAGTTTAAGTTTGACTCAAGTCCATCTGAATTCTAATTTATTGAGTTAGTTTGAGCTTTTTTGCTTAGCTCAAGATTAAACTAGAGGTATTTGAACTGGACTCAAATAAGTTTAATAAAACTTTGAGAATGTAGGATATATTTATAGTCATGGTGGAAGAATAATGCTAATATTGTCTTGTATGGGTAGTTTAGGCTAATATTCACCTATGGTATGCTTTTGAAATTTAGATTTAAAATTTAATTTGTAATGTGTTGACTCAAAATGTTTTGTCAAAGTTATGTGCAAAAAGAATTCCAGTTCTATAAAGGAATATCAGTCATAAGAGGAATAGCTAATGAAGAATACTAGTTTTAAAAGGGAATTGTTATTGAAGTTTTTCTAGTTCTAGTTTGATTACGAATGACTTTTTTATTCACAAATCTGTTAGGAGTAGTTACTATAAATAGAGATTGTCCTTTATTGTAGAACTCAAGCATTCAACATTAATCTAGTGAGGTATGAGAGTCTTTGAGAATAGGATACTAAATTCCCCTAGAAAGTAGTACATGTGGTTAGGTTTCAATAGTTTGGTAGGAAAGATCATTCTATTGTATAATCTCAGGTTCCAAACAGTGTACTTTAAATATTGAGCTTTTAGTGGATTTAGGTAAATTCTCAAATTGAGAAGTGCCTCACAGATTATGGTTGTTTGCCCGAACTGCGTTACAAATTGTTTGTGTTACAACTTCAGTTTCGAAATCACTGTGTGCTACGCTCTACAAATTTTCAATTGGTATCAGAGCCAAACTGCTTAAGTTACTAGCAGGATCCTAATGGAGTTTCCAAGAAAAGGACTATCAAACACAGAAGGGATACAGTGCTATGAGTGCAAAGGGTTTGGACACATCAAGTCAGAATGTCCAACATACTTTAAAAAGAAGAACAAAACATATGTGACAACACTAAGCGATGACTCAGACAGTGAAGAAGTTACCAACACTAATTTCGTAGCATTCACCACAAATCATGAGAATGACAACGAAAATGAAAATGATATACAAGAACTGCTAGAGTCATATACACAGCTGCATGCTAAATGGGAACAAATCATCAAAGTAAATGTTGAACTCATACATGAAAATCAGTTTCTAAAAGATGAAAAAGAGAGTAATGAAAAACGCCTTAAAGATACTCAGAATGAATTAATGGAGTCGAAAGGCAGAGAGACCAAACTGTTACAAGAGATCAAGGCACTAACTGAGAGGCCTAGATCTCCAAATCCAGCATCTAATGAAAGTCATTCTTTTGAAATTCCTGAAGTGTCGTAACATCACTTCCAACACCGAAGGAGGATCAGATGTTATTACTGTCACAGACTAGGGCACATAAAAGCATACTGCTTCAAAAGACAAAATGATCTGTATTACAGACAAATCAACAGAGATTGGTCAGTACAAAGCAAGAAAATCTGGGTAAGAAAAGATCAGAATGTCTCCTACACCTCAAAAACTAACAAAGAACAAAACGTATGGTATTTTGACAGCGGGTGTTCAACGCATATGACTGGAAATCCAGAAAAACTGGAAAACATTCAGTATAAGAATGAATGACATATTACCTATGGAGATGGAGGAAAAGGTCAGATCATTGCAAGCGGCATCTTGAATGTCCATGGGCTGCCTAGGTTGCCAAAAGTCCTCCTAGTACAAAGTCTAAAAACAAATCTAATCAGCATAAGTCAGCTTTGTGAAGATGAACTCAAAGTAGAATTCTCTAAAGACAATTGCACTGTGTTTAATCAGAATCACAAGTGTGTCATGATGGGAAAAAGGTCCGCAAACAAATGCTATACATGGGATGGTGAACTATCTGGTTTACAGACAATCAACAAGCAAAAACAATTACGGCACCAACATATGGGACACATAAATTCTCATGACATCAAAGGGGACCAAGAAATATTCCTAGACTATTCAGGATATTCATAAAACAGTAAGACTTTCAGTGTAGACAGTACAATGGAATCCATGAATGTGGTTATTAATGACACAATTTCAAGAATAACCACTAATGATGACGAAAGTCCCAGAGTTGTTGAAACAACTGTTCCAACACCTCTGACTACTGTTATGCAGAATCACAAAACAAAAACAGGACCAGATAAAGAAAAGGATGATGACTCTGCAACGATCATTATGAGCCATGTTCTGATTTCACAGGAACCCTACCAAAATATTCAAGACGAACGCGAACCACCTCCAGCCTGTTTGTGCGAGACAGCCCTGAAGGGCAAGGGTGGTCTGGCGGTGGCAACGGAGCGTTTTCCGGCGATGATTATGTCACTGGAAATTGGAGAAATTCCAGTTTTGTCTAGGTTATCCCATGAAGATCAGATCAGATATTTTAGAGATCATTTGGAAGAGCTTTCATCGGATTTTGTGCTATTTCCAGAAATTAATGACGGCGCCGAGTTAGTACGTTCGAAATTCCGGTCAGGAAATCTAGATGTGATCGTAAGGCAGAAGAGACCGATTGATGGAATCTCAGTGGATTCATGTTTGCATGGCCAGAATACATCTCCGATTAAAAGAATTCTCGACAGATTGTCTCAGCTTTGGCGTCGCGGTCCTCCGATGTGCAATTTTCCTTCGGGATGTCGCGATTGAGGAGAAGTGATGAAATCAAAGGCGTTGGCGGTAATAACAGAGGAAGAATAAATCAGAGGAGAAATTAGTTGTGATAGGCTGATTTAATTGGGAATCTTTTTTTTAAACAAATCATACAGGCTGATTTAATTGAGAATTTTTTTTAAACAAATCATACTCAACGATAGCACTCACCAATGACAAAGTTATATGCAAAAAGAATTCCAGTTCTATAAAGGAATACCAGTCATAAGAGGAATAGCTAATGAAGAATACTAGTTGTAAAGGAAATTGTTATTAAAGTTTTTCTAGTTCTAGTTTGATTAGGAATAACTTTGTTATTCACGAATCTGTTAGGAGTAGTTACTATAAATAGAGATTGTCCTTTATTGTAGAACTCAAGCATTCAACATTAATCTGGTGAGGTATGAGAGTCTTTGAGAATGAGATACTAAATTCCCCTAGAAAGTAGTACATGTGTTTAAGTTTCAATAGTTTGGTAGGAAAAATATTCTATTGTGTAATCTCAGGTTCCAAACAGTGTACTTTAAATATTGAGCTTTTAGTGGATTTAGGTAAATTCTCAAATTGAGAAGTGTCTCGCAGATTAGGGTTGTTTGCTCGAACTACGTTACAAATTGTTTGTGTTACAACTTCAGTTTCGAAATCACTGTGTGCTGCGCTCTACAAATTTTCATAATGCTATGTTTTTCTATGAAAATATATAGCAAAATACTATGTGCAGTGGGCTCCAACATTTTACTCTCAATTTTTAATTCATTTTCAAATTTTTGTTGTGAAAAATTTTTATTGGTACTCACAAAGATAAAGATAACTAATCATCAATTACGTACCACATAAGGGAGTAAAAGTGAGGGAGTATAAATAGGGAATACATATAGTATCACTATTGAAAATAACCCATACTTATTTGCCATCTGAAGAAATAAAAGTGATGGACTAAAATTTGAAAGTATACATAAAACTCAAATATATATGGTACCATGGATTCATGGTACGGTAGGTGAGTGTACGTGAATCACGATTATTGTACAAAATCCAAGTCTGTCTTGCATATCTTTTCTCAGGCTAAAGTACATAGAATACTATGTAATTCGTACAATCTTATGCAAATGTACCAACTAACACATTCAAAGTTCTTTTTTTTTTTTTTTTTTTTTTTTTCAAAAAAAAAAAAAAAAAAAAACATTCAAAGTTCAAACAACACATTATAATTAATCTTTGAGTTAATATATAGTATTGAAAATATTTATTGAATGTTACAATTGTCAAGATCAAATGATTATTACTACATCAAATGTTATAACTAGTAATGAGATGAGTGTACTACTTTATTTCTTTATATATTTACGTAACAGTCAACGTCACACTGCAATTGACAAGTATTAAATATGCTCCAAGTAAATATAGGGGTGTTTAACATGGTAATATTTTTAATTGTTAGTTCGATTAACCTTTATATTTTTTGTTTGAGTACTACTAATTCTTTCTCAACCTGTTGAAGCACAAATAGTCAATATCGTCTCCACTGAGGGGCGAACTAATAACCTCCCATTTGCGAGAATCACGTTATGCTACTTCACCACAAGGTCATTGACCAATTAACCTTTATATAGTTTAATGAAATCTATGAAAATCTATCTATCATTATAATAAAGCAGTAACTTTCTGTCTCAAACACTTTCCCGCCCACACAAAACGGCGTCACTTTAGGTAAGTAAATATCTGTGTAGAATTTATTGTATTTACATGACCTTTCGGTTTCCAATGTCCTATTGCATCGAGAAACAAACCTGCAACACTACTAATAAATCAAATCTAATTTAAATTTCTTTTAAATTTAATTGAACATAACAATAATGAATCTGCTCTTGGATTCTGAAACGTTTTGGTGGATTTTCATACTTTCAAGACACTTTGTTTTTTTCGAAGAGACCACAATATCTTCATCCTCTATAAATCCTTTGTCAAGAAGAATCTGGCCAATATCTGCATCTATCCACTTCTGAAGCACCTGTTAGTACAGAAATCTCTTTGCCAAGAAATCATTCATCTCCACACTAAGAGGTCAATCTGAGTTAGATTAGTAACAACTCATGCATTCCCGGAGGAACTGAGAGGAGGCCAAATTAGTAAGAGTAAGGAATCTTTGTTCCGAGATCCAGAGGTAAATCATTTTTTTTTACCCCTGATCAGAATGTATTCTTAACAGCATTTGTTTTCCATAATATTTTTTGTGTTCTGTTTCCTGCTAATTTCAAGTAACATAGAGCAAAATTCCAGCAAAAACAACTAAAACAATTTGAGCTTGGTTTCATACCTGAAAACCATCTTTCACAGTGTCCGGTTGACAAAAGCAATGTGTTGATGAATCTTTTTTTATCCCATATTATACTACTATTACAGACATTGACATGACATCTTCTAACTTGCCTACTCTTCTAATATTGCAGTAAATTATTGCTTTTGGGGGCAAGAAAAAGAATCTAAAGGTACCATGAAATAATACCTGTTAGTGATGGCTTAAACTTATAATGCATTGGCTTCAGTCATTTTTTTTAATGATTTTGTGATGTGCTTTCCATGTGACTATCTTCTGCAGTACATTCAAAAAAAAACCTTAAGACTTCAAAACATATTCAACGAGAATACAAATCTCAAGTAGTAATCATTATTTTACACTAATCAATGTTTTGAATGTGGTAGAAAATTGGGTCTTTAACATATACAAATTGAATTTCTTGGAACTCAGTTTTATAAATCAAATCTTGACAGCAAACAACATTGAAGCTGTGATGCAGTCAATATGATAACTTGAGGTCATTTATTTCTGTTCATGATCAGGAGGTAAACATTTCATTCATCTCATTGTTCTTTTATGTAAACTGTTTCAGGCTATATG